GGGCTCGGAATTAATGTAGGAGGTAAGAAAGGGGGGACTGAAATGGAGAGGGAACCAAAGACGGCTTCAGCCCCCGAGTTCGGAACCTAAATCCGGCTGCTTTCTTCCGGTGCTGTGCAGCTGCCTCCGGGCTGGCGGCGGGGCGGGAGCTGGATGGGGCCCTTGCTTGTGGGACGGTGGGCTGAGCCTCGGCATTTCGCTGTGGTCTGTGTTTTTGTGTTATTCTTAACTCTTACAGTCTGGCAATGCCCCAGTCAATGAAGCGTTAAATGAAAAAATAGTAATTTGATAATCCTCATTGCTTATTTTATGTGATTTTTCCTTCTCTAAGAATATATCCCAAAACGTGAATCAGAGCCGCTGATCCCATCTTTCCTGTGTGTCCATGTTCTGCCTGCTAACGTCCTGCTGTCTCTAGGTGTAAATGTTAGGATGCGCCAGGGCAAACCTGGGGGGTGGGTAGGTCCTGGGCCCCGTGTGTGTTAGTGCTGGATGTTCAGCATTATCTTGTTTTACAGGATTAGGGTTGGTTTGCTCGTTTTCCTTCTTTGGTTTAGGGCTCTGTTTTTACCGTGATATTTTATAAATGGCCTGTAAAATGCCTGAAGTGGTAGAGGGTTCTAAAACTAGCAGTAAGCTGAGCAGTGGATGAGCAAGCAGTGAACCAGCAATATTTCTTTCCATTGTAGTGCTGGGAAAGAGGGGCAACTCAGCCTGCTCTCAATACAGACTCGAGAAGAGAGGTTACAACTAGTAAACGAAGCACACGTTGAGAGGTCTTGAGAATATTCCAAACTCAAGCAGGAAATCTTTGGAGTGAAAAAAGCTTTCCAAGAACAGCAGCAACACTTCAAAGACTTGAAAACTGTTTTAAAGATAGATGAAGAATTTTCTGCTGGGTCTTGCTTCAATTTGATTTGCTGATGAAATGACTGTGTACGCCTGGTGTATACAAAACTTGCTCCTGTTCCCTTAAAGCGATGATTTTTTAACTCATTCAGTTAAAATCATTGCCTCTAAATTCTGAATTGTCATAATTCAGTTTGAACCTGGATAATATAGGCTTGTTAGTTTAGGCAGGAACCAGTTTAACCTAAGTTGTTCTGCTAAATTTAGTTCATTACAGTACTAGATAGGATTTTAAAGTAGTTTTTAGCTAAATTAATAAGTCTGATTTACTGTGATGTAGTTTCTGCATGCAGATAACTGGCTGAGATCTGAATCTTTTTGGTAGCAGCTTAAGTGAAGAGGGAGTCACAACACATGGGATTTCATATGAGGAGAGAAGGAATGTGAAGAACAATTATTGAGCTGTGGGAGAGCAAATTTTAATACAAGAAAAAGCAATCTGACCTTTTTTTTTTTTGCACAGACTCTGGCTTATGACAGGACACAATTCAGTATTTCTGGGTACTGTCAAGCCTCATTTCCTAACTGGGCATCTGGACTTGGAAATATGTTTTCTATCTGCCACTGAACACAAAAATGCAAGTCTCTGTGCCTTCATGTGCTATGATATCCTCTGTGGTTTATCTGTTGAGCTGTCCTCCCAGATGCTTCAAAGGCTTCAAATTCAAAGGTTCTGTCTCGGCTCCGCTTCCCTGATTTATTCTTGTGCTCCCTCATGTAGAAAGCTTTTTTGCTTCCAGCTGCACTAAACAAAAGATTAAAGACCTACCTGCCCATTTGGGCAAAAGGCTCTGAAGCACCTTTTTACCTATATAACCTTCCACAGGCAGAAAAGAACTTCCTGTGCTACTTGGAAGAAGTTGGTGTAGTGGAAGGGCAATTAGTCTCTATTAAGCTTCAGTAAGATTGAGTTGCTTGTGCAGAGCCTATTCAGATTGAGTGCTGAGTGCTATTACATTTTAGTTGACATTTACTTATAAGGGGGCATTTAAGATTTTCTTGTGCCAAATGTGAAACACAGTCTGGTAGGAAGATGCGACTGGGAGGGAATGGATGTTCCACAGCTTCAGCTTGGGTGTCAGGCTTCTAACAGAGGAACACCTCCCTGCTACAGCCAGAGAAGAATGAGCCCTTGGACTGCAGATCAAGGAATATGTGGGAACCACTGTGCTCTCTCCACAGAGTTGTAATAAGTTACTGCAGGCACTCTTCCCACCTGCAAACAATGGAGAGAAGCAACAGAGAGAGATCTCACCATGGAAGATATTTAAAAGAAATAGTACTAGGGACCTCTTATGGTCATCTAGCCCAGTTTTCTGCTTAGAGCAGGACTAACTTCAAATTTAGAGTGGGTTGTTCAGGGCTTCTGCCAAATCTGGTCTTCGTTGTAGTCTCGTTTGGACAGGGAAGTAAGTTTCAAGTTTATTTAAAAGGAAACTCCTGCACAGGATTCAGGGCTTCCAAACAGCTGTTGGATGAAATTTACTACAAGGATTGTTGTATTGAAGATTCAAGTGTTACTAGCATTTGCTTTCTACTTTCAGGCAGAGAGACTGTTGGTTCCAGCAACATGGAGGACGATGTCAGCTTGAAGTTCCATCAGCAGCTTCTGCTCATTGACGAAAATCTGGTGGCTGAAGATGTAGCAGCTTTAAAATTTCTCTGTACTGACTTGCTCCCCCTCAGAAAACTAGAAAGTGTGAAGTCAGCAGTGGATATCTTTCAGCTTCTCATGGCTGAAGAGTATCTGAATGAGGAAGATACTTTCCTACCAGCTGAACTCTTATACAGAATTAAATGTCACTCCTTGCTCAGGAAACTTGGTTATACCAAGGAGAAAGTGCAAGAATGTCTGCGTGAGAAGGGAAGAGTGTCTCCGTACAGGTAAACTTGCAATGGAATTCTGTTCTCTCCATTACTGCCATCTATGCCATACTGTTTCCCTTAACATTTTTAAATTTTCAGATTGCTTTTAGTTTCTACACTGCCTTCTGGTCTGCGTTTGTCTCACTGAATCTCTGTTACAGGCAGATGTTGTATGAATTGTCAGAGAACATTACCAACGAGATGTTGAAGGATATCATATTCCTCCTGCAAAACTATCTTCCAAAGCGACAGAAAACTCTGGTATGTGAGGAAAGAGCCAAATGTGTATATGGCAGGAAAGGAAGAAGGAGGTGGGGAAATAGGAGGAAAGGCGTGAAGAGAAAAGTATTTGGCAGAATAGGGCATAATTTGCAACTGGGCTTTGTATTTATAGAGTTAGCAAGCAGGAAGCTGTTGAAAGGTAAGCGTGGAATTTGGTGCTTTGTGCCAAGGTCAATCTGACAGTCCATGGTCTTGCATTAGATCATGGAAGAGTGACAAAGCAAATCTTGTCCCTGCTTGAGCCATGTGCAGAGGAAGTTAATGTCCATATATCACTGGTACTGTTTCACAGCAGTAAAGCCTTCTCGAAGCCGAGAGTCATTAATATGGTGAATCTGTTTAAACAAGATCATACCAAATAATAACACAACCAGTAGCTTTCCATAGAGCGACATTTCCACCTCCTGCAGTGATGTAAAATTAACTGTTTGGACCTTCTTGGTAGGAAGCAAACCAGATGATAATGTGATTGTTTGAGGCAGACAGGGCTGAGACAGGTTTTGAATTCTGAGGAACAATAACTATATTTTACTCTCTCCTTTGGGCTGTCAGTCTGCTCTGGAATTGCTGATTTTATTGGAAAAACAGGGCCTTTTGACTGAAAACAATGTACAGATCCTGGAGGAAGTCTGTATGAATGTTTCACCTGATCTCCTGGAAACAATAAACTGCTACAAAAGGGCAAAAGGTAAGAAATTTGGAGTCAGAGAGTAGGTTTGCTAAAATGCAGGAAGCACTAGAATGGTCTGGGCAACTGAACCTCAAGGTCCTGCTCATATTCACATACAAATCTGGCATAACATTCCCTAGCTTGCATTACTTCCTAGCTACATTCCAGTAGGGGCGTGCTGGAATATCTGAGGCCACACAGAGCAGTCCCGCACATACAGAACAGGCTGGGAAATTGAAAATCTGTTCATAATTGTGTCACACTTCTCTGTTTCCCCATGAATAGTATTGAGATGATGATGACTATCCTGTAGAAGGGACTTCGTGATTTATGAATACAGACTACAAGAAGGCACTTGCCTGCGAGGCAAACTCTGTGTGTGTCTGATGCATGGTAGGCTTTGTTATTAAATGTGTGATTCATATTACCAGGGGTTATACTGCAGTTTGTAATTCTCCTTCATTTAATGTCCTGTGGAGTGACTATAAGCATACTGGGGAAAAAGTTGTATTTCTCTTTATTGAAGCACTGAGAAACAAATTCTAGGAAGTACAAAGCTACGTCTCCCCAGTAGGAGCAAGGACAGTCAGCGTTTCATGAGTTCCATTCCCCCATGCTTTCTGAGTGCATTTCAAAGTTGCTTTCTATTTTAATAAATCTTTCAGTAAGTATAGATCTGCATTTGCCTAATGTGCAGATTCATACTGGTTTAACTAAAAGGCACTTGGCTTCTCTCATTTTGTCTCTTTCTGCTTTTAGTGTCTCTGCCTCAGCAGGAGAATACTCTGCCAGTCAGAGAATCTTCGCTGTCTCACACTGGAGAGATCAGAATATTCACTCACCCACAGGTACACTGGAGTATGCACTGCCACCTTGGGTTTTAGTGGTTGGGGGAGTTGGGCTTTTTCCTTGCCTTTATTTTGAAACTATACTGGCTGTGAGAGTTTTTGCTAAATCTTTTTACTTAGTTTAGGCATGTGAGAAATACAGCTGCATATAGTATCAAATAGTGGCAGTCAAAAATACTACTATTGGCCACATACAATTGGGGAAAAAATTAATGTTAGGAAGAGAGATGAGTGAGAAGAAAAGCTAGACAGGTGCCTTCTAGAGAATGGGTCAGTCGGTGCTAATTTTGAAAGTTTCAGCTGATCAACACTAAACCATTGCTAAAGGCTAACACACTGCTTTGATAACCAGTTCAAACTGCTGCTGCTCAAGGAAGTGGTCCCATTTTCCCAATGTACCAGTCCTTGATCAGTTAAACCCCTCCTGCAGCTGCATGATGAATCAAATTGGGAAACTTATCAGGGCTATAACTGATCTCTTTCATTGGGGAAGAGAAGAGGAAGGGAGTTTTAACTCAGTTCTAAATGAGGAAAACCAGTGATCTTTCTGAGGATACTTCCCAGAAGTGAAGTTCTAGTAGATGAGAGCTGAGGAAAATGAGCTATTTAGTATCAGAAGGGTTTGTGTTACTGCTGCTTTGAGCTGTATTTGCTCTGTGTGTGTAGAGGGTTTGGGGAAGCCTTCGTGGCACTTGGCACAGTAAGAAAATTAATGTAGTCTTATGGAGAAAACACAGATTTAAAAGAATTTTTTAAAAAGACTAAGAGACTGTTTTCATAAGCCTGATTATCATGTTTGACTTTTCTTTAAAATGATGAGAGGTTATACACATTCTTCATGCTGTATAATAAACCATTATTATACAGAAGATATACTACTAGAAGATGTCTCTTAGGGAAAACTAGAATCACTAGTTACAATGATTTATACTCAAATAATTGACTATCCAGAGTTGATATGGGACTGTGTTGGCACCTTTATTTTGTTTATAGTGACTGCCTACCCCTATAGTAAGAGGATCATTTCGAAGTGAAGGAAATTTCTTTGCTGTTTCCCTTTATCCTAAAGTATAGTTGTTTCCAGGTCTGTGAGATTTGCTATAAGTGGGAAGTCTTTTGTAATTTCATTATTAAATGCTTTGCTGCTCTTAGGGTCTAAGTATTTTTCCTACTCACTACTTAAAGAGCTTTGTATTAAGCCTAATTTGCTAAAATAACTATGAAAACTTATTATATGAACTAATGATTTTTAACATGGTATTCCTGCCACTCAAAAATAGGAGACCTCGATCAAATCTGTCGATTCTAATATCAATGGTAAGAATTTCTGAAAATATGTATGTTTTTTATTACCTTTGTTTAATGTTGCATTCCTTTACTTTCTCTGGGAAATTTCTAGCATTTGGTTTAATGCAACACACTTACTTTGCTGTGTTCTTGGGAAGGGTCTTTTGCTTTCTGCACAAATAGATGTGAAGGATTTCTGGTCTTATATAAAAGAGGCAAGAGAAATTTAGTAAATTCTGTGTACTTTGTCAATCATTTACTAGAAAGTAACCAATGGGCTTTCTGGGAAGTGAAATAAGGGTTAGTCTGATGAGAAGTAAAAAGATTATTTCCTTCCTGAAAACGAAAACCAAGTTTTCTGTTTAAATATCCCTGGGCGGACAAAAGAACGGGACATCGTGACTGTTTATAAAACTGAGATGTTAGTTTTTTGGGTGCAAGATTTTACCTCTGACTTCTTTTGCTGTACAGATGGTTATGTTGAAGAGACTGGGAGTCTTGCATGGTAGAGATGTATGTTTTGAATGCATCATATGATTTGTACAAAAGGAGACAAGCGTTTCAGGGCATTCAGAAGAATTAAATAAAGCATAAATAAACAGAGTTACATTTTGAATCAGATCTCTGAAAAGATTCTGTACAAATAACAATGGGTAGTTTGCATCCATCTTTGTGACTCCACGTCAAATTGACCAGTTGCAAAGTGTAGCAGTACAGCATCTGTCAGCTCTTACCCACTTCCAAGCTCTGTCAATGCAGACTTGCTCTAAGCTGGTCTGAAAGTTATTATCAGTGATTCAGGAACAAAAAAAAACAAAACAAAAATATCTGTAATGGGAGCTTCAGTTTATTTCTGAGCTGATGTCCACACGAAAAATTCATTTGAATGTCTCAGGTAAACTCTGTCCTTGTAGCATGGATATCTTTGTTCCACAATAGCAATACAAATAGAAACCTTGCCTTTGTCACAAAAATATATATAATAAAAATAACTGGAGACATGTTCAGAATAGATCCTTCGAACATGATGTTGCTATCTCATATGGAGGAATTATTCCTTTCAAATACAAGAAGTGCTATATTGCAGCTAAACTCCCTTTTGCTACCTCCACCAATACTGGATTTCTCTTCATAATATCTATGCTGGTTTTTTTTTCCCTAGATAAAAAAGCAGCTAATCTTACACAAGGCTTCTCTGAAATGAACCTGGAGCTGCCTGGAGAATTCAGCAATGTAGAAAATGAATCCAAGGTTTGACACAATCTCTGAAATCCTTCTTTTTGAATACCTGGGTGTGTGTCATCTCTGTAATGACATGTATCATGCAAGGACATGTGAGATGTCTGTGTGTCTCATGAAGTTTTTTGAGTTGTCTGATCAACTGGAATGTTTCAGAAAATATTTTAACCTTGGAGGCCAGAAACTTAACAATATTGAAAGATGTGGTGGAGGCAAAACAGACATAATACCTTTGACGTTATCCACACATCAGTGCATCTGCTTATCTTCTGGATACAGGCAAAACATTTGGCATTTTCTGAAGTTATGCATTTTGGAGATGGCAGTAGAATGTGCAAGACATGGAGACAAGCATAGCTTCACAGTTCTGTCTTTCTGGATATGTCTTAGAAAAATCTTCAGGGCATCTTGAAATTAAAAGCGATAAGGGGTAGCATGCAAAGACCTTGTGAGAAGTATAAAAGAAGGCAAGAGTTTAGTAAGCTGTTGCAGGCATGTAACAATCTTCCTCAATAAACCAGAGGTCTTGGTACAGGAGGAAAGATCCTTTTTGTGAGATCCATCCTTAGAAGCCTTATGTGCACTCTTTAACCTTGTGCAGCAGTGTGACTGAATTCTCCCTCAGCCTTTTTCCTTCTGATGAGCGTGGATATTGAGGGAGCAAGTTGCTGCATTTGTTTATAGCTATTTAATTTTGTGAAGTTCTGTGCTATAACATATTTTTTCATCACCCGATGTTCAGACTGCCGTAGCAAAAGTACTTCCTGTGGCAGTCAAAGGAGCTTGGAGTGCTGCCTTCGTTTTGTTCTACTAAAATGCACAAAAGCAGGGATTTGTTGCTCTCTCTAGTGAGCAGAAAGGAACTGGAGTAGTGGGAGTTTTTGATTTCAGCATGAGATTGGACTAGAAGAAATGGTACTTGAAGTTTTGGGAACTTTTCATTTTTTAAAATGTTCTTTCTTAGGAGTGCAAGGTAACTTTTAAGTCGTAGCAAAACTGGTAGTGTGGCAGGTTTATGCACTTCTGAGATCTCTCTTCTGCTAGTGTCCCTTTCTAGCGGATTGGTATGAACCACCTGCTCCAGGTATTCATTACTACTCTTGAAAAAAACAACTCAGATATCTAACATCACTGTGAACCCTCTGCCATCTGAAGTTAAAATATTGTCATGACACTGGGGACTTCTGTCCCCATCACCAATTGAGATTGCAGAGCTTGGCTGTTGAATCCTCCCTTTTGCATACAGATGACCAATGCAGCTGCTAAACCTTTCCTCTACAGTTTGATAGCATGTATGTGGTAGAGTGTGCTTGAGGCTTCACTCATATCTTTTCACACAAGGAAGCACCACCGAGTTCCAGCTTTTCAAAAGTAACCCACAGTCTTAGATGCCTCTAATTTTTGGATGCCAATTTTGAGACATGTTAAGGAAATATGAGTAAGTTGAATAAATTCCTTGAGGCTTTAAGCTTTTTTCTTCTTCTTTCTACAGAAGATGACAAGCTACAAAATGGATGGACCACACAGAGGATTTTGTCTTATTATTAATAATGTCAACTTTGATAGGTCTCTTCAGGAGAGGAAGGGTTCTTGCAAAGATGCTGGTAAGTTACTGAAGTGAGATTTTTGGAGGATTAGTCTCTATTTCCTCATGTGAGTTGATTGTCTAGTATCACAGAATCACAGAATGTTAGGGATTGGAAGGGACCTCAAAGGATCATCTAGTCCAATCCCCCTGCCGGAGCAGGACCACCTAGATCAGATCACACAAGAATGCATCTAGGCGGGTTTTGAACATCTCCAGAGAAGGAGACTTCACTACCTCTCTGGGCAGCCTGTTCCAATGT